GTTTGAGGTAAAATGAACATTTTCAAATTGAATGGATACTAAGCCTCTCAACTCACATTAAAAAAAATTAATTTGGCATGCAACAAAAGAAATCAGTAAATTTCCAGACCTCTTAAAGTAAATAACCTGTTTACAGTATAGCTGGGAAAATATTATTGTGCATGTGTATATAATGGAAAAATGTTCCAGCTGTGTAATATTGATCAGACTGATAATAAAGTTAACAGCCAAAAAAAAAAAAAAAAAAAGATCTGACATCCTACTAGCTTTATATCTACTATTAATAGTATAACATTTTTAGAATTATTGGTCTTCTTTATAACAGGTTAATCACAACTTATAGGTTACAGTTTTCCCTTCTGAAGTGACCTGTAGTGAGTTAATCTACTTTTGAATGTCACTAGATGTAGGTTAAAATAAATTCTCTAGCACTAAAGGCAATGCCTTCAGTTTTGCTTTGTCTTATACATTTTCTACTGTTCGTGCAAATAAAATGAAAACAACAGTGCTGAAGTCAAATGAATCACGCCAGGGATGAATATGATCAAATACTATTAGCAAATTACTTACATTAGAAAAAAACAACAAATGGTCTGGTAGCACTTTATAGACTAATGTTTTGTTAGTCTACTCTATAAAGTGCCACCAGACCATTTGTTGTTTTTTTCTGTACAGACTAACTCGGCTACCCCCTGAAGCTTACTTACATTAGGACAGCATTACTGGGTCAGACTAAAAGTCAATCTAGCCCAGTATCCTGTCTCTTGACAGTGACCAATGCCAGGTGCTCCAGAGGGAAGAGAACAGGGTATCATCAAGTGATTCCTCCCGTCACTCATTCCCAGCCTCTGACAGAGGCTAGGGACACCATTCCTACCCAACCTGGCTAGTAGTAAGCATTGATGGATGTAATCTTCATGAATTTATCTGGCTCTTTTTTGAACCCTGATAAAGTCCTGGTCTTCACAACATCCCTTGGCAAAGAATTCCACAGATGACGGAGTTGCATGAAGAAACACTTCCTTTTGTTTGTTTTAAACCCACCAATTAATTGCATTTTGTGACTGTTAGTTCTTACGTTATTAGAACAAGTAAATATCATTTCCTTATTTACTTTCTCCACAGCAGTCACAATTTTATAGCCATCCATCATATACCCCCACTTAGTCTCCTATTTTCTAAGCTGAAAACTCTCAGTCTTTTTTAATTTCTTGTCATATAGCAACCATTAAAATCTCGTAATCATTTTTGTTAACCTTTTTTGAACTTTTTCCAATGCCAATGTATCTTTTTTGAAATAAGGTGACCATATCTGTACGCAGTGTTCAAGATGTGGGTGTTATCATGGATGTATACAGCAGCAATAAGATATTGTCCATCTTACTCAATACCCCTTTTTTAATTATTCTTAATATTATGTTTGCTTTTTTGACTGCTGCTGCACGTCGAGTGGATGTTTTCAGTGAACTATCCACAAAGACTACAAGATCTCTCTTGTGAGTGATAGCAGCTAATGTAGTCCTCATTATTTTGTACGTCTAGTTGGGATAATGTTTTCCAATATGCATTAATTTGCATTTATAAATATGAACATTCATCTACCAAGTTCATCTGCCCAGTCACCTAATTTTCTTAGATCCTTTTGAAGCTCTTCACAGTCTGCTTTGGTCTTAACTATCTTGAGCAGATTACTATCACCTGCAAATTCTGCCATCTCACCATTTACCCCTTTTTCGAGATCATTTCTAACTATGTTGAATAGAATTAGTCCCAGTATGGACCCTGTAGGACACCACTAGTTACCTCTCTCTATTCTGAAAACTGGTCATTTATTCCTACCCTTTGTTTTCTATCTTTTAACCAGTTATCAAACCATGAAAGGAGCTTCCCTCTTATCCCATGACAACTTATTTTACTTAAGAGCCTTTGGTGAGGGACCTTGTCAAAGGTTCCTACCACATATATGGTAGCTATTCTCACTAAAAAGGATCCTAAAAAGTTTTATACGTTATGGCTATGTCTACACTATACCCTCTTGTGCAAAAATGTATGCAACTGAGGCAAAATTTGGAATATCGCCACGCCTCATTTGCATAATTAATTAGACTGTTTTTGCGCAAGAGGCTTTTGTGCAAGAGCCGTTCTTTGCAATTTCTTTTCAGGAAGAACAGCTCTTGTGCAAGAGGGTGGTTTTGCGCAAAAAGGAGCCGTGTAGACAGCTCCTTTTTGTGCAAAAGCCTCCTGCACAAAAACGGAGCCTTGTTAATTATGCAAATGAGGCGTGGCGATATTCCAAATTTTGCCTCAGTTGCATACATTTTTGCACAAGAGGCTATAATGTAGACATAGCCTAAGACTCCAATGCCAGAAAGACATCCAAGCTAGCATAAGGGCTTGTCTATGAGGATTCCTACCAAATGCATCTGTATCTTGAGTAGAATGGGGTAGCCATTTACAAAAAAAATTACTGAACAGTTTAGGTCAAAACAAAGAATACATACAAAACAGTATGATACTTTATCTCAGTGTGACTATGCATGGACTTAAATTTAGACATATGTTACAATTTCTTAATGCATCAGGGTCTGTGACTGAGCACTCATAAATCTGAAAATATCGAAGTTGAGGTTGCATGCCCATCTTAATTTTGACCCCTGTATATTATATTATATTCTAAACTTTTCTAATAATGATGATACGGTTAGGTATACCAAAATGAAAATACATTTCAAGAGGCTGAATATGTGTATTGTATCTCAAGATATAGGGGAAAAAATCTTGCCCCATTCCATTATTTGTGAAAATATATGTTATTTTGTAACTTAAAGATGAATACACAGTAGGGAAGAGGACTTAGGCTGTAAGTGCAATTTAGACTGTGGCATTTAGTGACTTTAGTTTAAAATAAAACGTCTTTTCTGTAACTATTAAGGGCTATTGCCAGTATGTGACTTGCACTTTTTTTTTTTAAATCCTTATTTGTATACTACATATATAACATCTGTGTCACTCTAGAAATAAGGTTTATTCACTGATCAGCTGTGTTTGGTAACAGCATTGAAGATCAGGGATCTTCCAGAAACAGAGCTTTATAGCCTCTTGCTCCTACCAGCATGCCAGATTTTAAGAGAGAGATACAACAATGACAAGTACAGATCCTTTTGTAGCCTTCTGGATTTATTTTTATAGCACTAAATTTGACATTAAGACATGTCTGTAGGAACCACATTTTAGTGAACCCTTCAGTTTTTTAGTACACTGGTAATAGCGTGACATGCAAACTGGGAATAGAACATCTGAAATGAGTAACAAATCATCTTTCATTACAAGTTAGAATGATTTTTAAAATACATATTAGACATTGATTTTCATTCAGAAAAGCCAGTCATAGTGATCCCTGAACATTATAGGAAGCAATTTTTGCAACCCAGACATATATTTTCACACATTCAGTTTAAAAGCTAAAACCTCTTTCAGACTGACGAGTATTGTAGGAATGTCAGTGAGGCAGCAGACTTAGTTAAATAGGCCACAGCGATTCTAATGACCGAAGAAGGTTAATTTTAAACATTAAAAAGCCACTTGAAGTATGGAATATAGAATGTGAGTTAATAAAGGTTGAAACTTACAAAGTGCTGACAATTTTAGTGTAAAAAATGGTTATGAATTCCCTTTTTTGTTAATTCAGAATAGGCAGAGTCCCCTTCCTTTTACCACTCCAGGCCTCCATTTCATTAGCGATTTAGTTATTTTATTTAGCTCATATATCTTATAATGCTGTTGTCTATAGAAGCATACTATAATACCAAAAGGAGTTCTAACTACGAGACTATATCCATGTTGCAACACTACTTCTGAAGACACTGTCAGCTTCATGAAAATAGAAGGGCTACATATTGAACTGGCTGCAACTAATGACACAAAAAGAGTACTGAAGAGAGTAGCATGAAGAAACAAGGTCTTCAAATTAAGGTACTAGATTGGGGTAAAGTTTTAAGAAGTACAGGTTGGACCTCCCTGGTCCAGTAGCCTCAGGACTTGAGCTCTCCTGGACCAGGGAGTCTGCCGGAACAGGGGAAGTAATGCTCCCTGGCTGGCTGCCCTGCTGCCAGTTAGGCTCTATGAGGCTCTCCAGACTGGGGCTCCCTCCCCTGCTGCTGCCCCACGAATGCTGGCCCTGCCCTGCTGTCCCATCCCCAGCCAGGGCCACTTGGCCACCACCAGCTCCATTCAGGTGCTGCTTTCCCTGCAACCTCTGAGAGTTCCTTGGGGTTCCTGGGTCTGCCCGGCCACCACCAGCCCCATTGCTGCAGCCCAGGCCTGCTGCTGCCAGGGAGGTTGTCATGGTTTCCCAGGATTCTGTGGCTGGGGCCACCAGGCCGTCTCCAATGCCAATGAAGATTCTCCTGCTGAGGCTGGGACTTTTTAGCTGCTGCCTGGCCCCGTTGCCAGGAGCTCTCTGACTGCCTGATCCCCAGACACCAGGAGTCCCTTGCCTAGTCACTCCTTGAGCCAGGACTCCGCAGACCCCACAGTCTCCCAGCTATCTCCCATTCCCGGGGCTCTTTAGTTCAGCAATGTATGTGGCCTTGCCAGACTACTGAGGTTGCCAGACTAGAGAGTCCCGGGTTTGGGAGGTTCGACCT